CCGCGATATCATAGAAATATAATATAGTATGATATAGTATAGTGTAGTGTAGTATAAGTATAATATAATTTAGTATATTAACATAGAAATATAATATAGTATGATATAGTATAGTGTAGTGTAGTATAAGTATAATATAATTTAGTATATTATCATAGAAATATAATATAGTATGATATAGTATAGTTTAGTTATAGTATAGTATAAGAAAGTAAAATATAGTTATAGTATAGTATGCTATAATGTAGTTGTAATATTATATACTATTGTGTAATATAATATAGTATAGTATTGGATCGTATAGTATAGTAGTACAGTAGTAATATACTATACTATACTATAATATACTATAAAAGAGAAAAGTCTTCGATGCAATCTTTCTTTGTTCATACGCCTGTTGAAGATGAACCTTAATTTGTTCCTGAGTTTCATGGGGGAACTTTCTTTGTAGATTTTGATGCAAACTTTTTAACAAAAAGTCTTCTTTAGTAGGCAAGCGCCGGGCCTTCAATTTATTGTTCTGAATAACCTTGTCAATTTGCTTGGTCTTTTTTGCAAGCAAAATAGCTGACCACCATTTGATGGAAAAATTGCGAACCAGACATTTAATATTAATAAAACTATCTTGATTTACTTCTATGTTCCATGCCAAAATCCATGGAAGCTGTCCTTGCGTAAAGAAAAAGAATTCAGTCATGCCTTCGACGATATGGTCAGCGTTGAGTTTTGGCAGATGAGGGGAGGTGTCTACCCACTCAGAATATTTCTGTTTAAGTTTGAGAGGAAGGATGGAAATGGCAGCACCTTTCTTCTTCCACCACTTGAAAAACCAATTAGGGAAAAGTAACATTTCCAGAATAATGGATATTACCTCAGGTTATTACACCTCAACCTACCATTAACCAGGATATTGACCAAATAATGCAAACTTTAGACGAAGATGTTGAAGTAAGATTTAATCCTAGAATATCAATTCATCTCCCTAGGATATCAATTCCATCTTCTTCGGAAGATATCCGAACCTCAAAATCTGATGAATCCGAACTGGCCTCTAGCCCAGGACTAACTCTTAATCAAAATAGAATATTCCATCCAATACGGGGACATTCAAATATGGACTCCCCAACTCCCTCTGAAATGCAATTTTAAAATGATGTACGGGCTCAATACAGCCTTAAGAGAGACGGTAATTCGTCACTATATGTTACCAAAATTCGAATCATTTTAAACTTGGTATAGAAAAATGTTCTCAGAAGAAGAACGAAATAATTTCTTAGATCAATATTTTTCAGATTTAGAAAACCCAAATAACAATGGAAAAGCAACAGTTCCATTTGTATATTGGTTTACCAATAAAATAATCTCTAATATTAGAATGATGAAAGGACAGCCAAATTTATCTTCTAAACCAGAAATAACAATGACCCCTTTCAGATCCATATCTTCCAATCCTTAGGAAATTAAAGAATTCTCCTTAATTTTACCAATAGTACGTTGCAAACTCTTACATCACACTTATAAAACATTAAGATAAAATTAGATCTATTAAAAGAAAAAATAGATCAAAATCAAGCTGAAAAATCTTCAGCGAGTTCCTCTATGATTATTACTAAACCTACTATCAAACTTCCACCTCCCAACAAACTGAAATTAGATGAAGATCTTAATATTTCAAAAGTAATAAAAAAAATAAAATCTAAAAAAATTACAATTTTAGACCAAAAGTAATAAACTCTTCTTTAGGTAATTATGATATTGAGCAATTAGAAGAGCAATTTCAATTTTCTAATTTGAATTCTCAACCTTTAACTATAAAAAAATTAAAATTTCCTAAAAAATCATTAGGAAAATTTTATTATGATAGACCTACTCCTTCAGATCTTCTATACAAAGAAGATCTTAATGAACAAATATCCTATGATCCTCGATAGTTATACGAATGGAATTTTGATGGTCTCTCCGACTATCAAATCCATATTACCCGTATTGGATGGAATATTCTATTTTGATTAAGAGTTAGTCCTGGGCTAGAGGCCAGTTTGGATTCATCACATTTTGAGGTTCTGATCTCTTCCGAAGAAGAAGGAATTGATATCCTAGGGGGATGAATTGATCTTCTAGGATTAAATCTTACTTCAACATCTCCGTCTGAAGTTTTCCTTATTTGGTCAATATCTTGGTTTATGATAGGTTGAGGTGTAATAACCTGAGGTAATGTCCTTTGTTCTGGAAATGTTACTTCGTTCCAACGGATTACCCTATTTGTAGCTATATTGGAAGCTAAGAGATTAGTTTCTATTAAGGTAGTTCGACTATTTGGTTGGACTACGTTTCTTACTCTAGGACTTAGAGTATTCATTACCTTAAAATGAATTCGAGAGATTAAGGCTATTATTTCTGATCCAGGGAGAAAATTATATCCATGGAGTTATAAATGTAATTTGAGTGCTTCAAATAGATGCACATCCGTTAGTAATAAGCTAAGATTTGGGAAGTGTTAAAGTAAACCGGTCCATGGCAGAGACTGGTTTCCATAACTCCCATGAGTGATTGTGCCTAATTTAGGCATCTTCCATCTATTAAGCATGTAAGGATGGAAGCATTATGTCCTCTTAAAGTTAGAGGCTTAAATGTAATTTGAATTAAGCCAATATGCAGATATTTGTAATCTTGCATATAAGATCTTAAATCATCATAAGATAATAGGGAGATTGTTTTCTCTGTAGAATCAATAGTGATAGAATTTTCAACAATCTTTATGGTAGTTTTACCTTTGAAATCAAAGGTTCCAATTTGATAGATTAATGTTTTATCTATCTTGGGTAGTGACCACTTATTTAGATCCTCTTCATTAAGAGGGTATTCTATTAATTCGGCATTTTTAATGTCTCTAAAAGAGGGTACTTTCCCCTTTTGGAGAATAGATGAAGATAAAGAGGTAGAGGAAGACATTATGATTAAAGGTGTTGATAAGTTTGTCATATTTAATAAAAATTAAAAAGGCAATTAGATTAATCATTTGAAATAAATACTGTAGTTACATAACAACCGCATAAATACATGGACAATCCCGGACTTACTACCCAGTCTCAACGGGTTTTTTTGCCAAAGTCCAATACAAATATGCATAAGCATAGTAACTACATTTTTTTAGATCAAGAGTGAAAACTCTAATAGAAGGACAAAATCCCTGCCTTAGTCATTTGAAGCAAAGGTGAGAAACTTATCAACAATATAGAGTTAAGCCAACATGGCTTTGATGCCAAATTGCGAAATAATATTTAAAGCAAGCAGACTACTCAGAAATTAATTAATAGAAAGACTAACAGAATAAAATACTTACAAAAGAGTCTTCAGAAGAGATTTATTGCAAACTTAAACTTTGCTTACAAGTTCTAACAAGTTCTGCCGAAGAGGCTTACATTTATAGGCTTTTAAACTAGCGGACTTCAAACTATAATTTTACATCCGAATAAAGAAAAAGATTTTAAAGGACAATTATTTAGATGAGTGGAGGCTACATTTCCATTAATTTTTCACTAATTGGTTAGTGGAGAAGACTTTTCATACAAACTTTAGTTTAGTGTTGTGTTTGGTGGATGTCTGGTAAGGTGCTGGTGCTGCTGTGCCCATCGATTGTTGAGGATAGTGGGGTCCAATATCCACTGATCAAATAGTAAAATCATCATCCTCCTCAAGAATTGCTTTTCCCTTTCTAGTGCTGGTGCTGGGTCTGCCTTCACGAGACTGGGTGCTCATCTGGTCCTAGTTTTTTGGTACATCTTCTGATTTTTGGGAAGCTTTATTGAATTTTGAAAAGATTTCAGCTAGTTGTTGTATATATGCCTATTGAAGACAAACCTTAATTTGTAAGCAAGCTCCGGGCCTTCAATTGATTGTTCTGAATAACCTTGTAAATTTGCTTGACCTTATCTGCAAGCAAAATAGCTAACCACCATTTGATGGAAAAATTGTGAACCAGACATTTAATACTAATAAAACTATCTTGATTGATTTCTATGTTCCATGTCCAAATCCATGGAAGTTGTCCTTGCATAAAGAAAAAGAATTCAGTCATGCCTTTGGTGATATGGTCAGAGTTGAGATTTTGCATATGAGGGGAGGTGTCTACCCACACGGAATATTTCTGTTTAAGTTCGGGAAGAAGGATGGAAATGGTAGTACCTTTCTGCTCCCACCACTTGAAAAACCAACCAGGAATTGGATTTTCTAAAAGATCATGATGAATAACAAACATCTAAGAATGACTTTTAGTAGGATTGAGAACATAAAAAGAAAAATAGCTGACCACCATTTGTGGCTGTTGAGGGTTAGTGCCTCATCCACGAGTAGAATTATTACGACCTCGGGTAGAACCTCGAGGCCATCCGCGCCCTCTAGGAGTCATTGACTCCTGATGAGGGGTCCTCCAACCCTGATCTATCATGCGGGAGGCCTTGCAAGTATTCACGAGTTAAAAAATCAGGTAGGCTATTGGTAGAACCTTTAATATATTCTATTTGAAAATCAAAGAGAGATAATTGTGCTTGCCAAGTAGCAATGATTTGTTTGGGAGCTACATTTTTAACATCCTTTTCTAAAATATATTTTGCGTAACTGCAATCAATGTGTTATAAAAAAGATTTATTTAGCAAGTCATCTTGAAATTTAAGAATAGTTTTGACGATTGCTAACATTTCTTTTTTAAGTGTAGAATATTTACTTTGAGTAGGATTCGTGAGTAGGATTCCATAATCCGGAGGTGAAACGGACTAATTGCTCTTTGGTAGAGATTGGGTGGCATTGTTTGAGTATAACAGAAGATTAACAGAATTAAATACTTACAAAAGAGTCTTCAGAAGACTCTTTTGTAAGTGTTTAATTATGTTAGTCTTTATGTTAATTAATTTCTGAGTAGTTTGCTTGCTTTAAAAATTAATCCGCAATTTGGTATCAGAGCCATGTTGGCTTAACTCTATATTGTTGATAAGTTTCTCACCATTGCTACAAATGACTAAGGCAGGAATTCTGTCCTTCTGTTAGAGTTTTCACTCTTGATCTAAAATAATGTAGTTACTATGCTTATTCATATTTGTATTGGACTTTGGCAGTAAAACCCGTTGAGACTGGGTAGTAAGTCCGGGATAGTCCATGTATTTATGCAGTTGTTATGTAACTACAGTATTTTATTTCAGATGATCAATCTAATTGCCTTTTTCATTTTTAGTAAATATGACAAACTTATCAACACCTTTAATCATAATGTCTTCCTCTACCTATTCATCTTCATTTGTTCTCTAAAAGAGGAAAGTACCCTCTTTTAGAGACATTAAAAATGCCGAATTAATAAAATACCCTCTTAATGAAGATGATCTAAATAAGTGGTCACTACCCCAAGATAGATAAAACATTAATCTATCAAATTGGAACCTTTGATTTCAAAGGTAAAACTACCATAAAGATGGTTGAACAATCTTTCACAATTGATTCTACAGGAAAACAATTTCATGTTATCTTATGATGATTTAAGATCTTATATGCAAGATTACAAATATCTACATAATGGAATAATTCAAATCACATTTAATCCTCTAACTTTAAGAGGACTTAATGCTTCCATCCTTACATGCTTAAGAGATGGAAGATGCCTAAATTGGGCACAATCTCTCATAAGAGTTAATGAAACCAGTCTCTCCATGGACCGGTTTACTTTAACACATTCCCAAATCTTAGCTTATCACTAACGGATGTGCATCTATTGGAAGCACTAAAATTACATTTACAACTCCATGGATATAATTTTCTCCCTGGATCAGAAACAATAGCCTTAATCTATCGAACTCATTTTATGGTCATGAATACTCTAAGTTCTAGAGTAAGAAAGGTAGTCCAACCAAATAGTCAAACTACCTTAATAGAAACTAATCTCTTAGCTTCCAATATAGCTACAAATAGGGTAATCCATTGGAACGAAGTAACATTTCTAGAACAATGGACATTACCTTAGGTTATTACACCTCAATCTATCATAAACCAGGATATTGACCAAATAGTGCAAACTTCAGACGGAGATGTTGAAGTAAGATTTAATCCTAGAAGATTAATTCATCTCCCTAGGATATCAATTCCTTCTTCTTTGGAAGAGATCAGAACCTCAAAATCTGATAAATCCGAACTGGCCTCTAGCCCGGGACTAACTCTTAATCAAAATAGAATATTCCATCCAATACGGGGACATTCAAATATGGACTCCCCAACTCCCTCTGAAATGTAATTTTAAAATGATGTATGGGCCCAATACAGCCATAAGAGAGATGGTAATCCGTCACTATATGTTACCAAAAATTTGAATCATTACGAACTTGGTATAGAAAAATGTTCTTAGAAGAAGAACGAATTAATTTCTCAGATTAATATTTTTTAGATTTAGAAAACCTAAATAACAAAGGAAAAGCAACAGTTCCATTTGTGTATTGGTTTACCAATAAAATAATCTCTAATATTAGAATGATCAAAGGACAGCCAAATTTATCTTCTAAACCAGAAATAGCAATGACTCCTTTTAGATCCATATCTTCCGATCGTCAGGCAATTAAAGAATTTGCCTTAATAATTAAACAACTTAATTTTACCAATAGTACGTTGCAAACTCTTACATAACACTTAGAAAACATTGAGAGAAAATTATATCTATTAAAAGAAAAAGTAGATCAAAATCAAGCTGAAAAATCTTCAGCAAGTTCTTCCATGTATATTACTAAACCTTCTATCAAACTTCCACCTCTCATCAAACTTAAATTAGATGAAGATCTTAATATTTCGGAAGTAATAAAACAAATTAAATCTAAAAAAAATACAATTTTAGACCAAGAGTTATCTTCTAATGACCTTGAGGAAGAAACCGAAAACTCTTCTTCAGGTAATTATGATATTGAGCTATTAGAAGAGCAATTTCAATTTTTTAATTTGAATTCTCAACTTTTAACTATAAATAAATTAAAATTTCCTAAAAAATCATTAGGAAAATATTATTATGATAGACCTACTCCTTCAGATCTTCTATACGAAGAAGATCTTAATGAACAAATATCCTATTATTCTCGACAGTTATATGAATGGAATTTGATTGTCTCTCTGACTATCAAATCCATAAAACTATCCATCGCATGCTCATATGTGTGATAGTTGCCCAAAGCAAAGGAAATAAACCTTGGGAAGTAGTTCAAATCATAGTCAATGGTTTCACCGGAATCTTAAAGGGTTGGTGGGATAATTATCTAAATAAATCAGAGAAAAATGATCTGCAGAGTGAGAAAAGTCCTTTAGATCCAGAAAAGACAAATGATGAAGCTGTCTATATGCTTATCCATAATATCTTAGAACATTTTCTAGGATATATGACTGATAACGGAGAGCAAATGCATTCTCTACTACAAAAATTGATATGTCCTTCTTTATCCCATTTTAGATGGTATCATCCCATTTTAGATGGTATAAGGATGTCTTTATGACTAGAGTAATGAACTTATCAGACGCTAGTTCAAATTATTGGAAAGAAAAATTCCTAGAAGGACTACCTGTATCTTTTGCAACTAAGGTAAAAGATAAATTATGAAAAACCAATGGGCAATTAATCTTTGAACAATATACGTTCGACGTATCATTAGTGAATGCATAAAAGTTGGAATTACTTTATGCAATGACATTAGAATGCAACAATAGCTAAAACGAGAAAGAATAGCGGATCGAAAATAATTAGGGGCTTTCTACGAACAGTTCGCATGCCCAGGCCCATTAACCTGAAGAGAACGAAATTTGGCCAAACGACGACCTCATAATAAAGAGACAAAGATGCCTCATCATAAGAAGTATCCGAAGCAATTTCCTAAAAGGAAAACTAATGAAAAACATTATCAAACCCCGAGAGAAAAATATTATGATAAAACAATCAAATGTTTTAAATGTGGGAAAATAGGACATTATTCAAACAAATGTCCTATGAAGAAAAAAATTAGTGAGGTAAATCTTGACAGTAACACTAAAGATCTTCTTATGAAGATACTTCTTAATTCAGATCAATCTGAGTCTGAATCCAACTCTGAAACTGAAATAGATCTTGATAATTCTGATTCAGAAAAATCTATATGTTGCAACAATTGCAATAGTAATGATTATTATAAAGCTATAGTAGAAAAATCAGGATTATTTATTCTAAATAATGAATAAAAAGATCAGCTTATTCAACTATTAGGAACAATACAAGATCCTAAATCTAGAGATCAAATAATTAAACTATTAGGAAATTCTGAAGAAACGCCTTTATCAAAAATTCAAAAATTTCCTAATTACTCTATGAGAGAAGTCTTAGATCACTTCAAAATACAAGAATCTTCTACTCTAACTACTCTAGCTGAATTAAAATTAGAATTAAAAACATTAAAATCTAAAATTCATCTCATAAAATCTGAACAAGACAAATTATTCACTAGGATAACTAATCTCGAATTAGAACAACTTCTAAATCAACCTGATCCAGCATAACCATCTACATCTCAAAATTAAAAAATAACACTCTCATTAACTCCTTACAAAAGGCCATAATTCATAAATGGTTCATTACCATCACTTTAGTAATACAAAAATCAATGGTTCTCAGCAATCTAACTGCTCTTGTAGATAGTGGAGCAGATAAGAATTGCATTCAAGAAGGATTAATCCCTTCAAAATACTTTAAAAAAACCACTCAGTAGTTAACATCAGCAAGTGGAAATAGTATGCAAATCAAATACAAACTATCTCAAGTAGCAGTATGTTAGTAAGACTACTGCATCAATACTCCTTTTTTATTAGTTAAAAATCTTTCTCAACATATTATTTTAGGAACTCCGTTCCTATATAAAATTATGCCTATAAAAATAGATAATGAGGGAATCACCTCATATTGTTGTGATCCTCCTATTAAATTTCAATTTATAACAGAAATTATTTTAAATGAAATAAATAAATTCAAAGGAAAACAATTACATATTAATTCCTTATCTGAAGAAATTAAATCTAAAGAATTAGCAGTTAAATTACAACAGCCATTAATTCAACAAAAAATTTCACAACTTGAAAAGGAACTTAAAACCCATATATGCGGGGAAAATCCTATTAGTTTTTGGAATTGAAAAACACATTGTGTTACTCTTCCCTATATCGAGAACTTCGATGAAAATACTATCCCTACTAAGACAAGGCCTTCCCAAATGAATAAAGCGTATCATCAATTATGTTAAAATGAAATTTCAGAATAACTAAATAAAAAATTAATTCGTAATTCTAGCTCACCATGGAGCTGTACAACATTTTATGTTATGAATGCTGCAGAAAAAGTAAGAGAAAAACCTCATTTAGTTATTAATTATAAATCGCTTAATAAGGTTTTAAAATGGATAAGATATCCGATTCCGAATAAATAAGATTTATTAAATCGATTAATCAAAGCATAAATCTTCTCTAAATTTGATCTTAGATCGGGCTTTTGGCAAATCCAAATAGCTGATTATGATCGCTACAAAACAGCATTCATTGTTCCATTCGGCCAATATGAATGGAACGTTATGCCATTCGGTCTAAAGAACGCCCCATCCGAATTTCAAAAAATTATGAATGAAATATTCAATCCATATAGTCAATATATTATAGTTTATATTGAAGATGTTCTTATTTATTCTAAAATAATAAAAGAACATTTTAAACACTTAAAAACTTTTAAGTGGTTAGCTCAAACAAATGGGTTCGTTATTTCTGAACCCAAAATGAAACTATTTCAAATCGAAGTTAGATTTCTCGGTCATTTCATTAGTAATAATACTATTACTCCAATTAATAGAAGCATTGAATTTGCTGATAAATTTCCTGATCAAATTTTAGATAAACAAAAGCTCCAACGATTTTTAGGAGCCCTTAATTATGTATCTAAATTTTAAAAAAATCTAGCTATTGATGTTGCACCACTCTATAAAAGACTTAGAAAAAATCCTCCACCTTGGACTCTCGAATGTATGAAAGCAATCCAGCTTATTAAACAACGGGTAAAAAATTTACCATGTATCAATCTAGCTAATCTCAAAAATTTTAAAATCATTGAACCTGACGCCTCAAATTTAGGGTACGGTGGTATACTCAAACAACGCCACCCAATCTCTACCAAAGAGCAATTAGTCTATTTTGCCTCTGGATTATGGAATCCTACTCAAAGTAAATATTCTACAATTAAAATGGAAATGTTAGCAATCGTCAAAACTATTCTTAAATTTCAAGATGACTTGCTAAGTAAATCATTTTTGTTACGCATTGATTGCCGTTCTGCAAAATATATTTTAGAAAAGGATGTTAAAAATCTAACTTCCAAACAAATCTTTGCTACTTGGCAAGCACAATTATCTCTCTTTGATTTTCAAATCGAATATATTAAAGGTTCTAACAATAGCCTACCTAATTTTTTAACTCGTGAATACTTGCAGGGCCTCCCACATGACAGATCAAGGGTGGAGGAGCCCTCATTAGAAGGAGTCAATGACTCCTAGAGGGCGCGGATGGCCTCGAGGTTCTACCCATAATAATTCTACTCGTGGACAAGGCACTAACCCTCCACAGCCACAAATGGTTCCATTACGAATCTTTTTCTATGGAAATCAGGAGGAACAGATTCCTCCAAAACCATCGATTGCGCCAATCTCTCAACCAATTAACATTCAAAATGAACCCTCCTCTGATATCTTTGAACCAATCCTTAAGCTAGCTGTTGAGTCGATCATTGAGCTCAATTTTAAAGATTATGAAATTATTAATCCTTGGACTTTATTTCGAAAATACTTAGCTGAATATCCTTTTATCCAAGATTCTTTTTATGATCGCGAATTATATGAAGCCATTCTACTTCATTTAAAATGTGTTTCTATCAAACAAAATTGTGATAATAATCGCCAACTCACCTATAATCACGCCAACATCCTCCAAATCATTCATCCTAAAGACTGGGGCATTACCCCTTTCAAACTCAATCCATGGAATACACCAAAAACACTAGCAATCCTCCTAAACATTATTTATTTAGCTACAGGACATATGTTCAGGATATGCATAAAGATTTTTATGTTCTCAATCCTACTAAAAGACATTCTTGGATGTTTGTTCTTCATCCTGATCTTTTAGAAAATCCAATGCCTAATTGGTTTTTCAAGTGGTGGGAGAAGAAAGGTGCTACCATTCTCATCCTTCCTCCCGAACTTAAACAGAAATATTCTAAGTGGGTAGATACCTCCCCTCATCTGTAAAAACTCAACTGTGACCATATCGCCGAAGGCATAACTGAATTCATTTTCTTTACGCAAGGATAGCTTCCATGGAGTTGGACATGGAACATAGAAATCAATCAAGAAGTTTTATTAATATTAAATGTCTGGTTCACAATTTTTCCATCAAATGGTGGTCAGCTAGTTTGCTTGCAGATAAGATCAAGCAAATTGACAAGGTTATTCAGAACATTCAATTGAAGGCCCGGAGCTTGCCTACTAAATAGGACTTTTCGTTAAAAAGATTGCATCAAAATCTGCAAAGAAAGTTCCCCCATGAAACTCAAGAACAAATTAAGGTTCATCTTCAACAGGCGTAGGAACAACAACTAGCTAAAATCTTTTCAGAATCCGATAAAGCTTCCCAAACATCAGAAGATGTACCAGAAAATTGGGACCAGATGAGCACCCAGTCTCCTGAAGATGGACCCAGCACCAGTACCAAAAAGGGAAAAGCAATTCTTAAGGAGGATGATGAGTTTACTATTTGATCAGTGGACATTAGACCCCATTATCCTCAATAATCAATGGGTACAGCAGCTCCAGCATCTTACCAGACATCCACCAAAAACAACACTAAACTAAAGTTTGTAAGAAAATTCTTCTCCACTAATCAATTAGTGGAAAATTAGTGGAAAAGTAGCCTTCACTCATCTAAATAATTGTCCTTTGAATCTTTTTCTTTATTCGGATGTAAAATGATAGTTTGAAGTCCGCTGGTTTAAAAGCCTATAAATGTAAGCCTCTTCAGCAGAACTTGGTAGAACTTGTAATCGAAGTTTAAGTTTGAAATAAATCTCTTCTGAAGACTCTTTTGTAAATATTTAATTATGTTAGTCTTTCTGTTAATTAATTTCTAAGTAGTCTGCTTGCTTTAAATATTATTCCGCAATTACTATAGTCATATAATGTAATAGTAGTAAATTTGTATACTATAGTGTGACTACTACAATATTATATTATATTATATTATATAGTAGTATAATATAATATAGTATAGTGTATTAGTATACTATACAACTACACTATACTATATTACACTATGCTATTATGTAATACCACTAATAGTAGTAGAGTATCATACAATATTATAGTATAATATAGTATAAAAGATTATACAATACTATACTACTTTATATTATAGTATACTATATTATATTATAATATACTATATTATATTATACTATACTAAACTATATTATATAACATTACTATACTACTATATTATTAGTATAATATAGTATAATATATTATAGTAATAGTATAGTATAGTAGTATAGTATATTATAATAACGTATAGTATTGC